AATAATGATGAGGTATAATAATAACGATTCATTTCATAAATGTTGATAATGTCGTTGCAAAATGTTAATACTGCATTGCAAGTTGCCACTAAGTGAGAGAGAGCATATATTTTTAATTTTCAATTTTCAATTTTCATTTTAAATAATAAAAAATATTAAGTTTAAATTTATTAAATATTAAATAATAATATTTAATTAAATTAATTTCGAATTTCCTTTTAATTGTAGTGGAGAGAGAGGGTTATGGAGAAGATCAAGGGGGAGAGAGAAAGAGAATCATTAATGAGTAATATTAATTATATTTTCATAATATCTTATTTATTCCAACTAACTATTAACTACTAACCCCTCATTAACTACCTAATCTAGTATCAGCCAATAAAAATGGTTTAAGAACCTCCTTAAACAATGAGGCTTAAGGACCTGATCCAACCCGGGGTTTTTTCCTTCACTGTGTTTTATTTGGTTAGGATTGGAAATCAGGGTCAGTAATGAGAGTACATTTATTATTTATAAAAAAAAACTCTAATTTTTTCCCTGATTAATTTTAATGGGTTATTCTTTCGTTTTATGTCGTAATTTAATTTTTTTTTACAGAAAATTAGATTAACTGTGCCCTTCAAAATCACACTCACTTTGATATATTTTGGAAAAACAAATTGAGTCATTTATTATCGGTTCATATCATGTGGTAATGATTGACAGTTCATAAAATTATAACACTTTAATATGAAAGTGTGTCATGGTGATATGAATGTATATGAGTGTAGGAAACAATGCAGTTAAAATCATGATTTTACGTAAAATCGAATAGTGAGGTAAAATCGGAATCGTTGATTAAAATCGTATGATCATAAATTTTAAGGTTCATATTAAGATGAACACTAAGACTCCTCCATATAGTAATATTAACGCATATCCTGTATAACAGTCAACCACATGTAACTTAATTATTTCCCAACATAAGTTTGTTTATTACATAAACACAAATCCTAATCCTAATCCTAACACTAATATAAAGAAGTTCTCCATGGGATATGCTTAATTCTAAATTTCCTGCATTCTGAATAAATTTAGGAAGGATATTTGTGTCCTTTTAATTAATAAAAGTCCAAACAGAATACTTTTATTAATTGTACTAATGTAAAACGAGCTTTAGTAGGAAATTATTATTAAACCAATTATTATATTATTAATTTTAGTTAGGAAATTGGTAGTGTGAAATTTGGGCGAGGGTTGAGACGTGTGGGTATGTACATTTAGTTTTTCCATATTATTTTACTCTATGGTTAAGTGTTTGATGCAAATTCGACTTTTGTTTTTTTTTTTTTTTGACCAAAACCTGTAAACGCTTCTATTGCTCCACTGAGCTGTTCACAGAATCCAGATGAAGTTGTGCACTAATACAATCAGGGGGGACATCAAGCCATACCACCCGTTCATTCCACTTTGTCACCTTTTGGGCCATCGCATGCGCCGCTTCGTTCGCTTCTCTGCTGATGTGCTTCCAACTTCCCGAGCCAGAGCTCCTCAGACCCCTTCGAATATTCGACTTTTGTTAATTAACTGATTTGAGGCTTTCTATTATCTCTATTTTTATTATACAGTTACAGATTAAATTAGGGTTAGATCATTTGAAAAAGTAATATATATACTTTACATACATGCGTTTTGTTCGTTATGTAAATATGTGTACTTTTGTGCTATCATTGTCTTTCTTGCATTGTCGATTATTCCCACGCATCTTTGACAAATACAAAATAAATAAATAAAATTTATGTATATAATTAGTAATGATTGCTAATTAATTAATAGTTTATTCCTCAATTCTTATTTTAGGTATTGGTTTCTCCTAGAGCGATGAAATGTGGATCACAACCAAATAAAATGGATGGAATTTGGCAGCATAACCTTCTTTAGTTACAATGGGCACAAATCTCAAGAGCTATAGTTCGGATTTTTTCAATTTATCGCATACTGAGCGAACTAATATCTTATTCATTTCAACTCTGATTTAAAAACATTTTGGATTAAAAAACCTATATTAATTGAAAATTTTCAAAGAAAAGTTGAAGAAGACTACGTTGAGTAATATTATAAGAATGGTACAACAACATCAAAGAAAATACTAGTTAGGTAACAACCTATATTTAGTCTTCTATTGCTTTTAACTTCAAGTTCATCCATTCGATAAAAAATAACGTACTTACTAAAACATAAAGTTTTTTTTTACCAAATAGTATCTCAATTGTTGTTATTCTATAGATTCAAGATTTGATGGGAGTTGTAGACAACATTGTTTAATGAAATGTAATTGTTCGGTATCGCGAGGCAACTGAATTTTTAATAACGTCTACTGAGAAACTATTCAACTATAGTGACAAAATGAGAAAACTCTCACCTCCTCATCTCATACAAACTGAGAGCATGAAGTTAAATTTTCATATCAAGCTCAGCTATTACAACATCATGAACTCTATAAGCGAATACACAATTTTGAAGATAATGAAGGATGAAGAAAAGCAATCTCAGACAAAGTTTGACATGTGCTGGGTAAATTTAAGTTCTTGAAAATGGAGTTTTCACTATTCTAAATATTTTGCGTTTGGATTTTTGCATTCAGTGAAATGGAGGAGAAGAAGGAAGAGTATGCTAATAGTAGAGGTAGTCAATTCAGTGATGGAGGTAGAAACATTATTAAGATATGTAAATTTTAATGGTGAGAGGAAAGAGTGAATGATTGATAATATTTATGATTTGGATGATGTGAAATTCACTATCATGAAAAGATATTTTCATAGTTTCAAACATTTTCTCTTAAAATTTAGTTTTTGATGAAATGTAGAAGAAGTATGAGACTATTGATGATGAATATATAATTTCTTTAAGTTGAAGCAATGTGGAGAAAGTGTTTTTCATAGCGGAGCAATAAAAAGAAAATTTGAAGTAATTTCTAACAACAAAGAGAAAATTGAAATGCGTTTTGAATATTAATTTTTTTTAGGAATCGGTTACTTGCATGAGTTTTGTTGTTTACTTTTGATAATGACTTTTGTATATGAATGTCAAAATGTTGTAAATCTTATTATGTATATTATTTGTAGGTATTTTTATTAATTGAATAAATTTCTTTCGTTCATGTTCCAAATAAATAATTATGGTAATAAATATTATTATTTATACTATTGATGTGATTCATCCGGCCAACGGGCGGACCTACTCCTAATAAGTTCATAGATTTATTATTGTACACAACATAAACGCGCAAATAAGCAAAAACCACATAGGAATTACTTAATCTCTTTTTGTTTTTGTTGAAAGAATTACTTAATTTGATTAATAGTTAAGAGTAGAAAATCACATAAGATCGTTAGATCAACATTGACATCCCTCACACATCATCATCTTCACCCTCACTCTCACTCTCACTCACATCCTCATAGAATCCTTGTCTATTTGCGGATAAAATATCTCGGGTACCACTAAATTAAGTATAAGAATTGGAGGAGATGTACCACTTAAGTAAGAATAGGGCGTCGGGTACCACTAATGTCACTGAATTGCGCATCCGTCTAAAATTCTGTCCATCTACCGTTAAAAAAAATAGCGATTATTTTTTGTCAAAATATTTAAAATCAATATAAAATGAAATTATTAAAAAAAATCTCTTTTCTAAATTCCGATCACCTCCCTCTCAAATCTACATAACCTAGCGCCGCCGGCGTCCAATTTGATGCCATGGCTCAAGAGAACGTGATTTGGAATGGATCATTGAATAAGTGGGGAAGTAGCTTTGGGGTTTCCCCTGATGATGGTATGGGTTTCCTCCCTTTCAACGGAGCGAATCCAAGCAATGACGGGTCGGAAGATGATGGTGGAGTCGAGCTCGTGGGCTGCCAATTTTTTTACTTTCCTTTGTGGTTTCGTCAATTTCAGAGGAAGAGAAACAAGAGAGCATGGACTCCACATCAAATGGCAAGAATAACATTGCAAGCTCACGTCTATTATAGCAGTCCCTGCCTCCGATTTGGGGTCTCTTGAATTGCCTCGCCCGTAACGTCGTTTCAATTAGGGGCGGAGTCAGGATTTCGAGACCGGGTGAGTCGAAAATAGATAAATGTAAATAAATATAAAATTATTTTAAAAGTCTACAACGTTCTTTGAGATAATTAAAATCTCTCAAAATAGTATATGGACTAAAATTTTTAGCTATCTTTCTTTCAATATAAATAACTAAATCATTAACAAGAAACTCATCATTTATTTTGTTTCACAATCTATTCTTCACTATCTTTATACCTGAAAACATGCACGATCACATGTAACTTTAGAAATTTGGAAGAGTTAGAAGAAGACAAATCAACCTATCAACAAAATAAAATTCATTTGACACTAATCTTTCTGTTCATTCCGACATAGATAAAAAAAATAGATCATATAGTTTGTATAAAGAGCTAAAAAACCCAAGTGAACTAATTAAATAGAGGTTAATTTTTCATTTGTGGCTGGATTAAAGTAACAAAAAGAATGAAAAGGAGTGTGTATCCTGATGCTTTGGTCCAAGACTTTGTGGAGGAGAATTAAGATAATAAAATTCAAAAAGAAGTTAAACAAAAATGAGGTTGTTGTGGATCGAACCTATTTGCTTTAGCCTAAACTTGCCTAAAAGTTTAGCTTAGTTACCAGTAGACTACATGATTAGTATATGATATAATGTATAAGTGAAGCACTACTTATCCAAATTTTATCTAAATATTCTTACGGACCTCGGAGTAGGGGTGGCAGAACGGTTTTTGGTTAGTAGTTAACCGGACGGTTTCAACCGAACCGACCAGTTTTCGGCTAACCGAAAAACTGATTCTGAATGCATCGGTCGGTTGGCGGTGGGGAAGGGAAGGGGTTCGGCTAGCCGACTAACCGGGGTCGGAAACCGGTGGTTAACCGGCTAACCGACCCCTTCCCTTTCCCCAAAAACGACCCCGCTTCAGCCCCCACTAACCTTAAGTGCCGAGTCTGTCGACTCCCTCGGACCTCCTCCTCCCAATTCCCAAATCCATCGCCGCTTCTCGCCTTCTCGCGCAGCCCCCTTCCCCCTTCTCGCCTTCTCGCGCAGCGGCGCTCCAGCCCTCCACCTTGTCACCCCGCCGCCTCCACCATCGTCGACGTTCCACCAGCAGGCAGCAGCAGCCAGGAAACAACCCCGCACCCGCCGCCTCCACCCTCGTCGCCCCCGGCGGTATCTCAAATGACTCGAGCGGCGGGGGCGGGTGCCTCCATTGAGGAAGCGGCCCAGCCAGAAGCAGAGTCTGCAACAGCGACCCTGCTTTCATCACCGCCTGCAGTAGCTTCCCCTTTTCCGGAAACAGCTTCTCTAGCTCCGGCACTAGCACCTCCCCTGCTTCCTCCGCCGGCCGCGGCAGCGGCAGGGGCAATTGGCCTGCATGCGCTTGCGGCGGTGGAATTGGGTCGAGAACCGGGGAGGAAACGATGCTCTCTTCGCAATCCGAAGACGAGAACCCATTGTTGTTGTTGTTGGAGTCGATTTCTCTTCTAGGTTCGTCTTCAACGCTGGAAATCCCGGACAAAGGAGGAGCATTTTGGTGGTAATTTTGGTGGAGCAAGAGGGTCTCGAACAGAACCCTCTGGCATTTCTCCTGAGCGTCGTCTCTTTCATGAATTGCTTTTCCAAGAAACTCCTTGAGCTGAATCAGCTGGTCGTCTCGCTTCTTGAGCTCCTCCTGAGCCGCCATCCGGGTCTGCTCGAGCTCCAGGGTCGTGTAGAGGAGTGAGTGATTCAGTTCGTCCATGCTCTGTAAATGTGGAAATTGGAATTGCCCTGTTTTTTTATTGAGGAAAGGGATAAATGAAAGGGAAAGGGAAATGGGAAGAAATGTTAATGTTACCTTTCCAATGGCAGGCAACAACAATGTGACCTTGCTGTTCGATCGGTTTTTGGCGGTTACCGGTCGGTTAGGCAGCTAAACGGAACCGACCTTTACATTTTCAGTTGCCCCGGTTAAACCGAACCTAAATCGAAAACCGGCCGGTCGGTTTGCGGCTAACCGGGACTGCTGGGACGGTCGGTCGACGATGGCTGTGGATCATGTCTCAGGTTTAACCAAAACCGACCGGTTGCCACCCCTACCTAGGAGCCGAGACTATTCTCGGGAGGGCCGGGACCCATTCTGCTCTCTGAGTAGCTCCGCCCCTGGTTTCATTCCTCTTTCCACCGATTTGCTCCCATTTGGCCTCCTATCGAGGGACAGGACTACAATCGGATGAGACTGAGCGATATCTTCTACACTTCACTCTCTAGCCGCCACCTCAAACTTTACCGCGTGTAAATTGGTGGAAACAAAAACAATACAATGGTATAAGCGTAATTAATATAATTGGAGAAAAGTTTTTTGGTACTTTTGGACACGTGTCTGCAAAGCATATATTTTCAACCTTGGACTTCCCTTTTATTACAAAAAAAGGATAAATACATTTTAATAGTCAAATATTTTGTTTTACACAATATAATAACCAAATCTTTTCAAAAACAATTTATTAGTCAAACTGTTAACTTTTCGTCCAGTTAATCGTTAGTTGACTCTGAAGTGGTAAAATGTTTACTGAGATGGAACAGCGGGTCTCAATCCTTACTCCGCTCCGATCTCGAGTTTCAGCGGTAACGATTGTGAAACAGAGCACAAACCTAGGAGTTAGAATACGGTGACGGAGATCGCGATGATGGTGGTGAATCGGAGGTAACCCAATGCGTTGAAGTTGTCGGCGACCTTGGTGAATGTCGAATTCCGATCTATCACCGGGTACTTCGCGATGCTTTGATTTCAGTGTCAGTTTTCCTTTCCTCCTATGTGTTTTCTCTCGTCAGTCGATTTCTCTTCCAAAAACCACTTGAACCAGTCATGAAAATGGAGGCTTGAGAGAATGGAGAAGAACCCCATTATTTATAATGATTTTTAAAATCACCCACCCTCTTCAGTTCTTGAATTCGTCGTTACTCTCCTCCGGCGGCATCTCTATCTTCTCTGGAAAGATCCCTTATTTTCTTTTATTTTTTGTAATTTATTTATTTAATTTGGCGTCAGTTGTCCAGTCGCCCCTCTTTTTCCAACTCAGCAACCAAATTGTCACGTCATAGTCAACTAACGGTTGACCAGATGAAAAGTTAACAGTTTGGCTAATAAATTGTTTTCGAAAAGATTTGACTATTATTTTGTTTAAAATGAAAGATTTGGCTAATAAATTGTATTTATCCAAAAAACAATACAATAGAATAAAACGGTTAAGGAAAATTTCAACGAAATGCACGTTCTCTCTTTTAACTAGTTTTTTACCCGCCCGTTGGGCGGTGTATTTTGTTTAATTATTTTATAATTCGTTATAGTATTGTAATTGTTATTAGTATTTATGTTTATTAAGGTAATATACATGGAATTGTAAATCTCACTTACCTTATTTCAGGTATTGTTTCATACCTTTATATCTTTTTTTTTATTTATGAAAATTTTAATTTTATTAACCGAGCTCTTTGTAGAATGTTCTTTATTGATTTAGAATTCTTTTTATCGAACTCACCCTTTAAGATTATAAATATAAGAGTTATTCATTCTTTAGCACACAATTCTGATAAAGAAGTTAAAAAATTTACAGCCATAAAAGAAGAAGTTAGAATTAGAAAATATGCTTCAATTAATAAAAAATTAAGCGAAGAGCTTTTTTTCTCTCCCCTCTCATATGTCGGTATATGATAATAGAGAATATTCCGATCTAAATCCCATGAATATCGTGTATTATCACTTACACATACAATTTTGGAATAATGAGGAAACTCATTAGCATACACGTCCATCAATCTTCCACGTACTCGTTTAATTACCTTGAAATGTTCTAACAAAACCAACCACAAACAAAACTATCAGCTGTCACTAACTTATTAAAGCAATATTTTCAGCAAATTAAACTGTATATACTTAAACACAATTTATATTTTGTAGAGAGCTACATATCTCATGCATAAAAGAATCGTGTTTTTTTTACCTAATAACAACATAGACAAATAATGAAAGGAGCAGCCTTCAATACAACTCAACTCATTTTTATCATGCAAGTTTCTCATTTGTGAACTGAATATATGCATCAATCCAAATAGTAGTTTGTAAGAAAACAATCATGTCAAAATCAAGCTTTAGTTAGGGATTCAATGCGGAAAAATTCACCTTAATGAAACAAACAAATGTCACCGCAAACATGTAGAAATTAAAAAAACATCAAAATAGACAACAGAGAAACCACCATTATCATTTTCTTTTTTCTTCGTGACTTTTATAAAATTCCAATTATGTTCCCTTCTACTTATAACCTCTTTGCTACCTACTAATTACTAAACATATTGCTAGCTAGTAGCATGTCAATCGTGAACATAAAATATAATAAACAACCATCACAACTCTACTTTCCATTTCAACATTCAAGAAATCGGGTTGCAATAGGCATTCAAGAAAAACGATCAATTATTCAACCAAAGGAGGTATGCCCTAAGTCCAACCAATTAATCCTTCTAATTATATTTTATATATTTAAATAAAAGTATATGGCGACCCTTCTCCGTGAAAAACAAAGAAGAAATACATTCACTCATCGAGAGTGGGAAATTTTACCATCCAACAGTCGTAATTTGGAAAAAATTAAGAAAAGAATGGGAAGAAGAGTATAACTCGGCCAGTCAACCGCAAACAATAACATATCGCTGAGAAAGTGAGACCAGTTGCCAGCTTCAGATCAAGGAGGAAGAGGGAGCAGTCGACAACCCTCGACTTGGTTCACCTCATCTTCACAATGATCAGATGAACTTTTTTCGTTAACATGCAAAAATATGTTACAACTCCTCAAAATTTTGTCATCTAATCTTTGCCTCGTGTAACTCGTGCCTCCTATTCTCATACAAAGAAAAATAAAATCATATGCATTACCATTTCCTTCTCTATAAATTATGAGAATACAAATATCAGAAATCTCAAAAAAATTAGCAACTAATAAGAGGGCTTTGTTTATTTTTATGGTGGTTGACATACTTTCTTGATTTCTTATTTTCAAAGTTGGATTTTATTTCTAGTGAGACAATCAAAATGGAGAAAGGGACAGAAACAAATTAAAAGTTTGCATTAATAATTAATATGTTTTCATTTAATCGGAATAAATAAGAATTTAAAAAAAAAATAACAATTATTGCTATGTCAAGTTTATATTCAAACATTTTGCTATAAAATTTAGGCAAAATACACTTGTATAGCCAAAACTTTCACGTTTGTGACAATAATAGCCAAATTTGAAGAAATACCACTTATAACCTGATTTTGTAAAGGGTGTTGGACAAATATAGCTATTTTCGTTAGATACTTTAACGGTGTTAATAACACAGTCAACTTATTTGACGATTCGCTGACTAGGCACCAACTCAGCGCACACGTCAGCGCCAAATAAGTCGAAAATGACACGTCAGATATTAAAAAATAAATTAAAAATAAATCAAAAATTAAAGGCAAAATACATCTACATAGCCAAAGCTTTCGCGTTTGTGACAATAATAGCCACTTTTGGAGAAATACCACTTATAGCCAGATTTTCTAGTTGTTTTATGACAAATCTAGCCATTTCTGTTAAATACTTTAACGGTGTTAGTAATACCGTCAAGTTCTTGAACGGTTCGCTGACTAGACTCCTATTCAGCACACACATCAGCGCCAAATAAACCGAAAATAACACATTATAATTTAAATTTATTTAATAATTACACATAAGAAATTAATTAATAAATTTAAAATAATTACTTGATTTTTTTTGTCTTCCCTCCCCACATCACTTTCCCTTTCTCTCACGTCACCATTGGCTTTGGTAACAAAAACAAAAGAAAAAAAAAATTCCACACAAAATTCCTCATGGAATTCTCCTCTTCCCATTCACCAGGAAAAAAAAAATCTCAAAACCATCCCACCCTTCTCCCGCTGCTATTCCACAGTAGGTCGTAGCTGCTCATCAATTCCGTCCCAACCTATCCGGAACCTCAACGAAGTGTTAGCTGATTGTGGGAAATGACCAAAATACGATCTTTCGGTGCTTTCTGGGTAGATCTGGAACGCGTAAAGGGAAGTAATCGACGGATTCATCGGAATATTAGGCGCTCCGCACCTGCTCCAGTGCCCACTCCTCCATCGCTGCTCGAGTTGGCCCCCTCGATTCTCCCATATCACGATCTGGGCACTGCCCCGAGGGTCCAGATCTGCCATTGCTGTCGTCGTCGAAGCATCTCCGTCTTCAGAAGGCAGATCGAGAACACCCTTCACCAAAAGCTTGGACTTGACGAACGCATCGGGGACGTAGTCGGCGGCAAGAAGGAGATTTCAACAAGAAGATTGATTGGCGGATCTGGGCATTTTTTTATAGAAAGGATCTGGGTGTTTTTTAAGAGAGAAAGAAGATCAAGATGAGAGGAGAAGAAAGAGTTTTGTTCTGGGTGTCATCGTTACGAGAAGAAGAAGAAAGAAATCTTTTTGTTGTTCGTTGATGCAGATGAGAAAATCAGAGAGAAAGAGACAACAGGGGCGGATTGATTTTGAAGAGGGGAAGGTGAATAGACGGTGGATGAGGAGTGAGGACTGACTTTAATATTTTGTTTTAATTTTTATTTAATTTAATTAAAATTTAAGGATAAAATTTTAAATATTTCCACATTTCATTATTTTCCAATAAAATATGCCACGTCAATCGTTGCTGTTAGTCCAGTCACCCTGTTAGATGA